GTCCATACTATCGGTCCCGCTTTCCATCTTACTATCGATCCTACAACCGGTCTCGATATCAATGTCACTCAGTTTCAATCATCCAGAAATTAGGCTGTTTCTCTGGTGTAAGAGAAATAATCGCCGTAGTCGTAGTAGTAAAAGTAATCGCGCTACTAATCGTAGTGGTAGTAGTAGTAGCAGTATTAGTAGTAGCAGTAGTAGTTATAGTCGTGATAGTGGTCGTAGCAGTAGCAGCAGCAGCAAGAGTAGTAGTACTTGTATTAATACTAGTGTTAGTGTCAGTAGTAGTAGTAGTAGTAGCAGCAGTAGTAGTAGTAGTAGTAGTAGTAGTAGTAGTAGTGGAAGTAATAGTAATAGTAATAGTAGTAGTAGTGCTAGTACTAGTAGTAGTAGTAGTAGTAGTAGTAGTAGAAGTAGTAGTAGTAGTAGTAGTCGTAGTAGTAGTAGTGGTAGTTGTAGCAGCGAACGCAGTACTAGTAGTAGTAGTCGTAGTAGTAATGATAATAGTAGTCGTAGTCGTAGCAGTAGTTGTAGTAGTAGTCATACGAGTCGTAGTTGTCGCCGTCGTAGAACCATGAATAGAAGTTAGAAGTAGTGGTGGTGGTGGTAGTAGTAGTTGTACTAGTACTAGTAGTAGTAGTAGTAGTAGTAGTAGTAGTAGTAGTAGAAGTAGTAGTAGTAGTAGTAGTAGTAGTAGTAGTAGTCGTTGTCGTCGTAATAGTAGCAGCACTAGTAGTAGTAACAGTCGTCGTAGTAGTCGTAGTAGCAGCAGTAGTAGTAGTAGTAGTAGTAGTAGTAGTAGTAGAAGTAGTCGTAGTAGTAGTAATAGAAGTAGTAGTAGTAGTAGTAGTAGTAGTAGTAGTAGTCGTAGTCGTAGTAGTAGTAGAAGTAGCGGTAGTAGTAGTAGTAGTAGTAGTAGTAGTAGTAGTAGTAGTGGTAATAGTAGTACTAGTGGTGGCAGTAATCATCGTAGTAGTAGTAGTATCAGTATGGCCGCAGTAAGAGTAGCAGTCGTCGTAACAATAATAGTAGTAGTAGTAGTAGTAGTAGTAGTAGTGGTAGTAGTAGTAGTAATAGTAGTAGTAGTAGTAATAGTAGTAGTAGTAGTAGTAGCAGCAGTAGTAGCCGTAATAGGTGTAGGAGTAGTGGCAGTCGTAGTAGTAGTAGTAGTAGTAGGAGTAGTAGAAGTAGTAGTAGTAGTAGTAGTAGTAGTAGTAGTAGTAGTAGTAGTAGTAGTAATAGTAGTAGCAGCAGCAGTAGTAGTAGTAGTAGTAGTAGTAGTAGTCGTAGTAATAGTAATAGTAGTAGTACTAGAAGTAGTAGTAGTAGTAGTAGTAGTAGAAGAAAAAGAACTCGTAGCAGAAGAAGAAGAACTCGTAGTCGCAATCGTCATCGTAGTAGTGGTAGTTGCCACAGCGACAGCAGTAATAGTAGTAGTAGTAGTAAGAATAAGAGTAGGAGTAGCCGTCTTTGTCGTAGTCGTATCAATCATGGCGCAAGCGTTGATACAAATAGTCGTAGTAGTGGGAGCAGCAGCAGTAGTAGTACTGGTACTCATAACAGTGATTGCGCAAACGGCGAAGCTGGGGGGGAGACACTAAGGGACACTCGGTGGACCTGGCTGGGGGTCTGGTGGCCGCGGTATGCCAGATGATCGGGTCGGGGGCACTGTTCAAAATTGAAAACCCCAGCCTGTCGGGTGGAAAGTAAATGTTCCGGTGTCTGCGCAGATTCCTCGGATCGGCGCTGGGTCTCCCTGGCGGCGCCTTCGGCGCAGCCCCTGGCGCGCTCCGCGCAAGGGGGGGGCGCCCAACGCCGATACGAGCAATCCGCGAGGATGAAAGGGGTTCCGGGTTCGGGTGACCACACGGTGGTCACTGCACCGTCCAGGGCAGCCTCACGCACGCCCATGGCTCCACACGCCGGAATTCGTGCAGCCACGCTTCCCGTGCCCCGCTGCCGTTTGGAGCCGAAGCCAACTTCCACCTGTTCTGGCTTCGAGCGCGAGCTGCCCGAATCTATACTCGCGCCTCTCCGCTTGGCACAGAGGGGCCGCGGAGGCTCGGCTCCGTACACTTCTTGCGAGGCATCGGGGCTGCGGAGCCCCTCGCCGCTGGGGTCGCCTGGAGCGGCGGGCGTGGGTGCCCGGATGTTGGGCAGTCAGGTGTGGCACGTCCTCGTACAGGCGGATTTTGGACTAACAATCACACATAGGCAAACAACTGCCCCAAACATATTCGAATATATATATATATATATAGAGAGAGAGAGAGAGAGAGAGACAGCGAGACAAAAAAAAGAGAAGAGAAATCGTCCCCAGACCATTTTTAAACCTGCGTTTGAACACTCCTCCAGTAGAGGGACACGTCGAATTGAATCCTGGGCCGCGCAGCACCTCTGTGCCGCTGCCGTGCCCGCCGCGCGCGCCGGCCGGCGCCCCCTGTCCAGCCAGGGCGCCCTGGGCTGGCTGGAGGCCCTCGCGGGTGCAGGAGGAGGAGGAGGGTGGGGGGGGGGAGGGGAGGAGGAGGAGGAGGTAGGAGGAGGAGGTGGAGGAGGAGGAGGGAGGAGGAGGAGGAGGAGGAAGAGGACAAAGAGGAGGAGGAGGAGTAGGAGGAGGAGGAGGAGGAGGAGGAGGAGGAGGAGGAAAGGCAAACGGGGAACCCGACAGCGCCCCCTCAGGGCGCCTCGGCTCCCGCGCGCCCGAGGGCCAGGCACCGCTCAGACCGCCGCGGCCCGCGGCGCCGGCGTCGGAGAGGGCCCGCCACTCGAGAGCGCCTCTTGGCACCGGCAGTTGGCGGCGCGCACAAGGGGGTGGGGGGGAGGGAGGAGGGCTTCTTAGAAGGAGGGTGCTTCTTAGAAGGCGCCGGCCTTACACCTATAGAGAAGGCCCTCGCCCTCTAGGAAGCAGGGGTGCCTTCTAAGAAGCCCTCCCCCCTCCCCCCACCCCCCCTCTGCGCGTGGCTGAGGCAGGAGCCCTGGTGGCCGCCGACGAGCACCGGCGCGGGGCACGCCGAGCGGTGCAATAAAAGCCTGGGGGGCTGGGCTGGAGCGCGCGGGGGCGCGGCTGTCCTCCGCGGAGCGCGGGAGGCTGGATCGCGCAAGGGGGTGGGTTCGGCGCGAGGGGGGCGTGGCTGGAGCGGGCCGGCGGGCGAGGAGAGCAAGGAGGGAGGGGATGCTCCTTCGGGAGGAGGCTGCAGCGCGACCGAAGGCCAGGGAGGTGGCAGCGCTGCGCCGTGGCTGAGGAGGAAGTGGAGGAGAGACGCTCGCTGCTGTTCGAGGAAGCTGCCCGCTGCCGACGAGAAGCACGTCGACTGCCCATGGCCACCTCTTCAGATGAGCCTTCAGCCGAGAGCGAGAGCAGGCGCGGAGCTGGACGCGAAGGATGAGGAGAACAAGGAGGAGAGTATGCTGTGTACCACTTCATGGGCACATAGCTACGTCGAACATAACCCCATACGACGGGCGCATCCTTTGAGTGGCCAGCCGCTCTGACCAATCCATTCTCTCCACCCTCGTACTCCAATTTAAGGTACAGTACCTCGCCTCCGATCTTCCCTCTCAGGTGACCTGACCTCGCTGGCGTTCGAACGGCACCACAGCGGCTGAGCCTAGCGTGCCTGCGCCCGCTGTGCGGCGTCGCGGTGGAGTGGGAGCGCCTCGACGTGGTGCGGCGGACTTCCTGGGCGCGCCCGAAGGGGAGGTTCGGCGGCGACGATAGGGGCGAATAGCCCAGTTGCGGGCATTACGCGTATTCGCCCGGGAGCCTTTTCGAAGACATAGATCATCGGCGCACCTGAATACATTTGTTGCTCTCGCCTGGGCTATTCGCCCCTATCGTGCGGGGGGGGGGGAGGAGGAGAAGGAGGAGGAGGAGGAGGAGGATAAGGAGGCGGAGGAGGAGGACAAGGAGGAGAAGGAGGCGGAGGAGGAGGAGGAGGAGGACGAGGAGAAAGAGGAGGATGACGAGAAGGAGGACGAGGAGGAAGCACGGTGAAGGATGAGGCTGATGATAATGATGATGATGCTGATGATGATGATGATGATGATAATGATAATGATAATGATAAGGATAATGAGAATGATGATGATGATGATGATGATGATGATGATGATGATGATGATGATGAAGATGATGATCTCCCAGGCCGTCGGCGCCGCGAGAGCACGCACGTCGCACACCGCGCTCCAGCACGCGGGGGGGGGGGGGGGGGCGCACTGGAGCCCTCCGATCCGCCCGTGCGCCCCAGAGCGGGGACACTCTCAGGCGGCGACCGCGGCGACCAGCCTGCTTGCGGGTGCAGTCGGTGGGGAGGGGGGTCACGTCCTCAATGCGGCCGATCTTCATGCCCGACTGCGCAAGCGCCCGGAGGGCGCCCTGCGCGCCAGGCCCAGGCGTGCGCGTCCGGGTCCCCCCCGTGGCGCGCAGCTTGATGTTGAGCGCCGTGATGCCCAGCTCCTTGCAGCGGGCGGCCACGTCCTGTGCGGCGAGCATGGCAGCGTACGGGGAAGACTCGTCGCGGTCCGCCTTCACCTTCATGCCCCCAGTAGCGCGGATGATCGTCTCGCGCCCCGACAGGTCCGTCCCGCGTGGACAGAAGTGTCGTTGAAGGAGGCGTAGATGTGCGCCACGCCGAGGACCTGCTCGCCCTCGCGGACCCCCGGGCCCAAGGTCACCGCCTCCACCTCGGCCCCCCCGTTCTTGGGCCCCGCTCGTCCCGTGGGACAACGTTTCGAAGGCTCCTGGCGTCAAGGCGAGATGTTCTTGCCGAGCCAGCGCAGCTTCAGCCAAAAAGGCTACGGATGATGATGATGATGATGATGATGATGATGATGATGAGGAGGAGGAGGAGGAGGAGGAGGAGGAGGAGGAGGAGGAGGAGGGGTGATGGAGGTAGAGGAGGAGGAGGAGGAGGAGTACGAGGAGTACGAGGAGGAGGAGGAGGAGGAGGAAGGGGCCATATCCTCGGGCCCCCCCGGAAAGGCGGGCGGTCGGGCTCCTGGCTTGTCGAGGCCCGTGAGGTCGAACAGCGGGCGCTTCTGCGGCCTCTCGCGGCCCCCCGCCTCGGGCTGCACGTCCCCGGGGACCTCGGAGGGCTTCCGGGCTGAGGAGGGACGGGTCTGCCTCCTCCTCCCTCCTCGTCCTTCCTCCCTCCCTCCCTCCCTCCCTCCCTCCTCCTCCTCCTCCCTCCTCCTCCTCCTCCTCCTCTCCTGCTCCCGCCGCGTGTTCCGTCCGTCCTGCTCCCTCTTGGTCCCTCCTCTCTCTTTCCTCCTCCTCCTCCCTCCTCCTCCTCCTCCTCCTCCTTCCTCTCGGCTTCCTACCCCATCCTGCCTCCTCCTCTTCCTCGCCTCCTCCTCCTCCTCTCCTCCTCCTTCCTCCTCTCCTATTCATACCCATCCTCCTCTCTCCTCCTCCTTCCTGTCCTCCCTCCTCCTCCTCTCCTTCTCCTCCTCCTCCTCCTCCTCACCCTCTCTTCTCCTCCCTCCTCCTCCTCCTCCTCCTCCTCCTCCTCCTCCTCCTCCTCCTTCATCCCTGCTTATCACAAATCACTCCTCCCCGTCGCACCCCCGGACATGTCGGTAGGGCGGGCCGGGCGTTTCGCCCGAGGCTTCCTCGCCATGACCGTGGAGCTTGAAAGGTGCAACAGTTCAACGGATGGAGGGCGGGTGTTGTTCAAAATGTGGCTCTCGCCTCAGCGCCGCGCGCACTCATTTAAAAATGCACAACAGCTTCATGGATGGAGTGCGTGCCATTTCCGAGATGTGGCTCTCGCCTCAACCCCGCGCAGATTCGTATGAGCAACTCCCGCCTGTCCTCTGGGCGCAGGTGGTCTAACGAGATCTTGTTTCTCCTCTTCCAAAACCGTCTTCCCTTCGGTGAGGGATGCCCTCCCCCCTCCTCTCCCTGAGTTTGCTGGGGGGGGGGAATGGGGCGGTGAGAGCGTCCACGATGCCTCAAAATGGTTAAGAGGGCCTCCGATACTCCATGATGGTCTCCAATATGGCCCAATGTAGCCGATGATGGCTTCCATCATGATCCCGATCCAAAGACCGCTCCAAGGCGGCTCCAAGGGTCCTCGAGGCCCCCCAACGCCCCCGCCCCCCCCCAAAAGGACAACCTCCTTGAACACCGATGGAAAGCCTTTGTATTGTGCCTTCGCGCCTTTCCGCTTCCGATGCGCGTCTGAGGCCGCGAAATTGGCCCAAGATTGCCCAAGAGAGGCCAAAGATGCACCTCAGACGGCCTAAAGAGCGCCCAAACGCGCCCAAGAGGCGATGTCCATGACCCCAGAAGGGGGAGGCAAATCGGGGCCCCCCCTTTGATCGTTGGCCTCCAAGATGGCCCCATGCGGCCCTCCCTGTCGCCCAAGGGGGCCCCAAGAGAGCCCCAAGGGGGCCCCAAGACCCCCAAAAAGAGCCCCAAGATGACACCACGACCCGAGAACGAACCCCTGGAGGGCCCCGAGAGAGCCCAAAAAGGACCCCAAGGGGGCCTCAAGAATACCCCCAGATGGCTGCCAGAGTCCTCGTCCTCGTCCTCCGTATCCTCGTCCTCGTCCTCCTCTACTCCTCTCCTCGTCCTCCTCGTCCTCCTCGTCCTCCTCCTCGTCATACTTTCGTCCTCGCCCTCTGCATCGTCCTCATCCTCGTCCTCGGCTTTGTCCTCCTCCTCGTCCTTGCCCTCGTCGTCCCCCTCTTTGTTGTCATCCTGTTTCGTCTTCGTCCGTCTTCTCCTACTCCTCCTCTTCCTCGTCTTCTCGTCGTCGTCCATATCCGCCCACTCCTCCTCCTCCGCCTCCTCAATTCAACATGGTTGCCCGCTTCGCTTTACTATATGTGTCGCTTTCTCCGGCTTCCCGTTAGCCGTCATGGGCAAAATGTCTGAATGGGCTGGCGGGGACACGTGAAATGAGAAAATGTTGCAACAATTCACAGGTGGAGGACGGGTCCTTTCAAAATGTGGCTCTCGCCTGAGCGACGCTTACATTCGTGTTAACAGTTTGCAGCAGTTTCACGGATGGAGGGCGGATGGTTTTCAAAATGCGGCTCTCGCCTTCGCGCCACACATACTCGGTTTGAACATGTGCAACAAGTTCAATCATGTTCATCATGTGTTTCTCGCCACAATGTCGCGATCATTCGTCTTAAAGTTCGCAGCCGTGTCAAGGACTCGCAGGGTCGAAGTCACAGGAATGGTGTCCTGGCACGTGACTTTATGTGCCAGGACGTAGCAATCACATTGACTTACAGCGTCGATCGGAGCCCCTAACACGGCTTGCTGGCACAACTTAAGATTGTCAGGGCGCAACAGTCGCGTTGGAATCCCAGGAACTGCGTGTTGGCACGATTGAGGATTCTCAGACGGCTGCCATCTAATAGACCACGCCTCGCAATGGAAAAAACATGTTCAGGGACCTATGACGAGGAAGCTCGGAAAGAGGTTGAATTGCAACACCGCTGATGCACCTTGGCCTTGCACTGCTGATCCTCCAGATTCGGCTGCTCCTTCGCCTCCCTCCTTCCCTAGACGTGTTCTGACACCCCCAAACACGGCGCCAAAACTGAGGCGCGAAAGCAAACGATGGCGCGCGAGGCGTGCCGCAGATCCGCGACGCGCACTAGAATTGTGCGAATTCGCTGCGCACAGGCTACAGTCGGCCCGTATCAGAAGGATGCGCGATGAGGGTGCCACGGCTCTGGACGCCCATTTCGAAGCTTCTCGGGCGGGGCGCGGCCAACAGAGTGGCCGAGGATGGACCGAGGAGGCAAGGATGCAAGGGTACCGTTCGGAAGGATGCCCATCCAAATCATGCGGCTTGACTGTAAACAGGATGTGAGCCAGCGCGCCAAGCTTGCATCGAGGTGCCCTGCATGGCCAGGCACCCTCCCTTGGGCGCTCTCCGCGCCTTCCGTGGCGGGGGGGGAGGCGGCGGAGCCGTGCGGGAGAGGGCCCCTCGCGCGAAAGGCGGCGGCTCCTTCTCCTCTTCTTCCTCCTCCTGATCCTGCCGGCCCTCCCCCCTCTTCATTCCGATCCTGCCTCTCCTCCTCCATCCCGCTCCTCTCGCGGTCCAGATATCGAGGGCCGCAAGGCTTTCGAACGTCCTCGGCCACCTTCGCGCCTCTGGGAGGGCTCTGGAGGGCTTCGAGGGGGGAGGGGGGGGGAGGTGCCTCCTCCTCCTCCTCCTGCTCTTGAGACATTATCTACCATTGTCCTGTATCAGGTGTTCCTGATCGGCTGTCGCCGCTGTGGAGTCATCTCGTCCGTTCGCAGTGCTTGCGAAGCTCTGCAGAGGCAATATTCCTCGATGGGCGCGGAAGCTCTTGGCGAGGCTGGACCGTGGCTCGTACAGGCACGTCTCAGCGGGCGGCGGCAAGGTGCCTAAAGTCATGGAGGTCGTGCCCAGAAGCTGAGCCACTCGTTCGGCTTTTGTCGTGCATTGGAGATTCGCTGGTGCGCAAAGCCTTGCGCAGTGCAGGTGCAGGAGGGAGGAGCAGAGAGGAGAGGCGATGAGGAGACGCAGAGGGAGAGAGGAGGGAGGAGGCGAGGGTGAGGAGAGAGGAGAGGCTTGCAGGGGGGGAGGGGAGGGACGCAGACGGCGGGAGGAGGGAGGAGGGGGAGTCGGAGAAGGACTGGGACCTGGATGGAATAGAAGGCACAACGTCGGGGATCTGGGGAAACCAGGTCACGATACCGCTACTCCCCAGACTCCAGACCTCTCCTGGGGTGCGTTCTGCCCAGAACTTTGAGGCGGATCCAGCGGTGACGACGAGGGCCGCCCAGGAGGCCCCAAAAAGTGGGAAAACGAGGGAAGGGTAGAGGTGGGGGTACCTTCTCCTCCTCTGAGCAGCGTCGACGAAGAGGGGGATCTGGAGGAGGAGGAGCGGGAGGGTGGCGGAGCGGAGGGGGGCGGCGCAGGCGCCGCTCGCGCCCGACAAAGGGCCCAGGGCTGAGGCCGGGGCCGCCAGCACGCCCTCTTCGCCTCCCGCCGCCGCCTGGGCCTGGGCGTCCTGGATGGCGCCCACCGAGGCCTGGGGCGTCGCCGCGGGGGGCGGGCGGCGGCGCTGCCGTGGGACCCCCTCGCTCTCCGGGACAAACAATCACGGCGGGAGGCTTTTCGCGGTGCCCGGCCTCGGGGCCGTCGAACACCGACTCGGGAGGAAGCGCCGGTGCTGGGGAAGGGGTCCAGACCTCTAAGGGGGCGACGCCGTGGCAAGATCAGGACGTCCGGGGTCCGGGGCGGTCCGGCGGCATCCCCGCCTGCAGCTGGAGCACGGATGGATCCAGACCTCTGTACAGGGTCCTCTCCCCCCGTCTCCGGGGAAGCGCCCATCGCTGGTGGCAGCTCCGGGGGAGGAGGAGGACGAGGAGGAGGAGGAGAAGGAAGAGGAGGAGGAGGAGGAGGAGGAGGAGGAGGAGGAGGAGGAGGAGGAGGAGGAGGAGGAGGAGCTGCCGCGCCCCGCGCCCCGCGCCGCGAGGCGCGGCCGTCGATCCGCGCCCTCGCGCCCTCGTTGCGCCCCCCCTCTCGGGGAAGCTCTGCGTGCAGGCGGACGCCGCACCGCCCGAACAACGGCGGGTTCGCGCCGTGGCGACCTGCGCGTCGGCTGCCGAGGGACCGCGCGGATCGCCAGATCGAAGGGGAGGAGGGGAGGAGAAGGCCTTCCCGGAAGGCGGCGGGGCTCCTCAGAAACTTGTAGAACAACGCGCGAAAAAACTGCTTAAGAAGAACGAAGGCGGCTTCGGTTTTAAACGATGTGTGAAACCCGAAACGTCGCGACTCGCAGTCGTCGCCGTGGGGGCGTGCCGACTAAGTCCGCAAGCGTTCCAGACAACATGCGAAAAGGAGACTGGCGGGTGTGGGGGTGGGTTGTTCTCTCTCTCTCTCTCTCTCGAGAGAGAGAGAGAGAGAGAGAGAGAGAAAAAAAAAAGAGAACCCCTCGCGCCTCCTGAGAAACTTTCTACGCCATCTGGAAAGACGCAGAACACTCTTCTCAGAAAGACGGGGGGTGTCCGAGCCTTCTGAGAAGGCCCGCCCCCTCTGACTTCCCCCCCCCGGGGCTGGCCGCCGACGGGCGGCGTTCGACCCTGAGGGCCAGCGGGGGCTCTGGCCGACGTCCCTGCCGTGGTGCTGCCTCCCCCGGTTTTCAAACAGCGTGGCCTGCCCGCTCCCAGACCCCCTCGAGTACTGAAAAAATCACGACGGGAGGTTTTTCCTAATTTTCGGCCTCGGGGGGCCCTCACCGGGCCTCGGGAGCGTCAAAAAACGACTCAGGATGCAAAGCCGTTCATGGGGAAAGTGTCAGGACCTCTGGGGGTCGACGTAATGAAAAATTCATTACGTCGGGGGTCTGGGCTGCCAGCTGGGGTGCTGCAGTCTGCGCCCCCCTCCAGCCTTCGAGACATGCTGGGGCCCAGACCTCCCACATCTCGAGATGGGGCGCACAGAGACGTACTAAAACTAGATGTCCTCCTCGGAGGCGCGCCCGACCCGATCATTGAGTATAACCATATTGCAACATATCGTTTTCCGGGCGGTACGGCCAGAAAGCGCCCGCCACGATGCATATACTATAAGATTTTCCGGTGCGTGCGTCGCCCCTGGGGGGGCGACGCACACATAGTATTAGTGTGTTGGGTTGTCGCCGAGGAGAAACTCGAGAGACATTTTTGGTTCGCACCTTCGACCTCTATCTAGGAGGCCTCGCCGGACCCCAGGACCGTCAAAAACGGCTCGGAAGGAAGAGCTGGCCCCTGGGAGGAGGTCCGTCTGGAGAAACGCAAGACGTCAGATGTCTGATGAGCGTTTGTGGGACCTGCTCCAGAACAGGAGCATCACGTAGACGGAACTACCCTTTTCTCCGTCCTCGTACTGCGCCGAACGTAAAATGACCGTATTGTCTGTAGACATGTCCACACCGCATGTGGCGAGAGCTACTTACTTTGCGGCGCCCGAACGTGCTAAAAGACACTTTGGCTAGAAAGTGAGAACAATATGAGGCACATGCCCCAAACATTTGTCTTGTAGAAGCATGCAGACTTTGCCATCCAAAAGTGCTGCTCCCGCCGCCCATACAATAAGAAACGAAGGCAAGCACGAGCACAACATTGCAGGTCTCCGCGCGTATTCCGTGGATCGGCGCTGGGCGATCGTCGCCAGAGGCGCTGGGGCGGGCGGCCCTGGCGGCGATCCAAAGAATCCGCGCGGAATTCTGAACATGTATGTATATGCCATCTCTTCCTCTTCGACCTCTGGGCATCTTTTGACCGATCCCTACTCCCACTGGCGTGGCCTGGGCCCCAAGTGGCCGATTTGCCCGCCCAGATGAGGATATGCGCAGTTCCCTTTGGGTTTAGAGGGTCCCGTCGACAACTGGGGCATTGTGATGGTGGGGCTGACACACCATGGCCCAATGGGGATGGGGGTCCGTCGGTCCGCGCTTGCCGATGGTGAAAACACAGACATCGGGCTGCTCCAATTTTTTCAATGCATGGGCCCTGGAGGTCTGGACCACTTCTCTAGGGCCGGTTTTTGGTCCTGCATCGTTTTGACGGTCCGGAGGCCCGGCGAGGGCCCCCGGAGGTCGAAAATGGCCCCCAAACCCGCTACTCCATGTTTTGTTGGAGCGTCGGATCTCTGGGAAGGCGTGTGAGGCATCTGGCCGTCCCCCACACCCTTTACCCCCCCCCTTGGGTCCAAGATGCAGTGTACGGCAGGTTCGCGTCGTGTCGACCCCGGGTTTGGTTTCTGACACCGCAGGGAATCGTTCAACCTTGAACGATCGGCCGTCTCCGCAACGTCCGATCGTTCAACATCGACCGATTCTGGGCCGCCGGCGGCGTTCAACCTTGAACGCCCGCGCTGGGGTCGCCGCTGGTCGACACGACGCAAACCTACCGTAAGCGGGGGGGGGGAGGCGACGAGGGGGGACGAGCTCCCAGACGCATCCCTGGGGCCTCCATGTAGCCTCTCCAGGGCCCAAGGCGGCGCGCGAAGCCCAAGGCAGAGCGCCAGCACAGCGCCCACACAGTCCAAGGGAGCGTCAAGATCGCACGAGATGGCCCCACTTCGAGACGGCCCACGAGGCGCCCAAGATGGCCCAAGAGCGCTCCCAGAGGACCGCCGAGAGCACCCCCAGAGGCGAACATCGTCCCATTACCATGGGTGTGTATGTAATATATATATATATATATATATATATACATACATACATACATATGCATATATATATATATATATACACAAAACATGTATGTAGGTAGGTACGTATGTATGCATTGCATTGCATTGCATTGCATTGCATTGCATTGCATTGCATTGCACTGCATTGCATTGCATTGCAGTGCAGTGCAGTGCAATGCAGTGCAATGCAGTGCATTGTATTGTATGTATGCATGTGTATGTATAGCACACTCGCCTCTTTCGTCCTGACACCGTCAAAGACTGCCCAAGGGGTTCCCAAGATCGCCCCACGACGGCCACTGAGCCCCCCAAGGCATCCCCAGGACGGCCTAAGAAGGCCCCAAGACGGCCGCGGGGGCCCAACAGACGGCCCAAAAGAACCCCCAAGATGGCCCCAAGATGGGCCCGAGAGGGGGGGGACAGATTGAAATTTCGAGCCTCTCGCCCCAAGATGGCTCCAAGAGCCCCCCCCCCGACGCCCGCGAGGCGCCCACGAGAGGCCGTAAGAGGCCCCCAAAGAGACCCCCAGGAGGCTCCGCAGAAGGGCCAAGAGGCGCCCCAAATCCCCCCAAGAGCCCTCTAAGAGGCCCCTGAGAGGCATCCCGCAAACCCCATCGAATGCATCCAAAAAACTCCCGACCCACCAGATAACTCCCAAGATCTTCGCAATTACTCGCGCCTCCTGGGGGGTCGGCGGAACGGCGCAAGCGCATGGAATCTAATCACGTCCAGACTGCAGCGAAGCGTCTCGGCAGTCCGACAGGACGGGTGTGTGACGCAAGGGCCCGGCCACCATGCGTCAAGAAAGGCCCATTGCAAAACACGGCATTCTTATACGTAGTCTCCGCAATTGCGGATAAGAGTGAGGGGGCGGGCGCGGGCGACGCGGGCGTCGTCGAGCCGGCGGACCTCGTGGCCCCCACCTTCCTTGTCGATGACGCTCTCCTCCTCCTCCTCCTCCTCCTCCTCCTCCTCCTCCTCCTCCTCCTCCTTCTCTTCCTCGTCGTCGTCCTCGTCCTCATCATCATCGTCATACTCCTCCTCCACCTCGTCCTCCTCCTCCTCTTCTTCCTCGTCCTCCCTCTCCCCCCCTCGTCCTTCCATCATCGTCCTCTCATTGTCGTCCTCCCCCTTCATCGGCCTCAATCATCGTCCTCCCATTGTCGTCCATCATCCTCCTCCTCCCTCTCCTCCCCCTCCTCGTGCTCCTCCTCCCCCTCCTCGTCCACCTGCTCCTCTTTCTCCACATTCTCCTTACATCCTCTCTTCTTCCGCGTCCTCCTCGTCCCCTGTTTACTCCTCCTGCCTCACCCTCCTCTCCCAAGATAACGGCAACGCAATCCTTTGTTCCACTTTATGCTCCCCGATTTCTCTGATCAAGGCAACTCGCCAGGGCAAAGTTGCTGGACGGGCTGGTGTGGATGCGCGGGGCTTGAAGAGGTCGTTGCGGGCTCAGACGGCATGCAAAAATCCGCCGCCGCGCTTGCGCGGCATTGGTTTGTTCAGTGAACGTGGTTAAGGTCGCGGGCTCTCCACCTCCACCTGGAAGGAATGCCAAAGCAGCCCGCCGCAGGCGCCGAAAAAAATTGTTTGTATGCCCGCCGCAGGCGCCGAAAAATTTGGTTTGTACCCTGAACGTGGTTGCGGGTGGGCCGCGGGCTCTCCACCTGAAACGAATGCAAAAGATGCCCGCCGCAGGCGCTGAAAATTGTGGTTTGTACCTTGAACGTGGTTTGGGTCGAAGGTGGGTCGCGGGTGGGTCGCGGGGTGGGTCGCGGGTGGGTTGCGGGTGGGTCGCGGGTGGGTCGCGGGTGGGTCGCGGGTGGGTCGCGGGGTGGGCGCGGGGTGGGTCGCGGTGGGTCGCGGGTGGGTGCGGGTCGCGGGGTGGGTCGCGGGGTGGGTCGCGGGGTGGGTCGCGGGGTGGGTCGCGGGGTGGGTCGCGGGTGGGTCGCGGGTGGGTCGCGGGTGGGTCGCGGGGTGGGTCGCGGGGTGGGTCGCGGGTGGGTCGCGGGGCGGGTTGCGGGTGGGACGACGACAACAAACAACAACAAACAACAAACAACAACAAACAACAACAAACAACAACAACGAGAATCCACACCGCGGAATCCCACTTCAGCCACGCACCCAGGGACAGTGAATGACCGTTCGGCCCCCTCACTCTGACATTGCAAAGCAACCCCCGTAATCCCCCCAGGGCCCCCGCCGAGTCACTGACCTTTCCGTGCGGCGTAGAAAAACCTACCAAACCGATGGCAAATATTTGATGTTGGCCTTGTGGGCCCCCTTGGAGTCCACAGGGGAATCCCGACGGCTCAAGATGGCTTCAAGAAGACCCACGACGGCCGCAGGACGGCCCAAAAATAGCCCCGAGAGGGCCCCAAAGGTCAAAAAGAGATACCCCAGAAGACCCCCAAGAGCGCCTCCAGAGAGTAGAAACAATGATCCACCATAGGTTTTTGCATGATTTAGGCGTTCTCGCAGTTTCGAAGTTTCAGCCGCCCATACCGGCCCAAGCAGCCTCCGAAATTACCCCTTTGCGGCCCAAGGGGACCCCCAGATAGCCCAAGATGACCCCAAGATTGCGCAGAAGAGGCCTCCAAAATGGTCCAAGAAGACCTCAAGACGGCCCAAGAGGACCCCAAGAGAGCACCAAAGTGGCACCAAGAAGCCTCCAAGACGGCGCCCGCAGGGTCTAGACGGCGCAAGAGCGCTTCGAGACGGTCCAAGGCGCGCCCAAGAGGCCCCAAAGAGGCCCCCCAAAAAGAGGTTTCCAAGAAGCCCCCAAGAGGCCCCATCGATGCATGAGGCCTCAGAACGACTGGGCTGTACGTGCTCCGGATGCGCACCCCGCGAAGCGGGAGGAACATGCCGCACGATGCTGAACCTCTGCTCTCGAACCATGCCGCCCCCGCCGCCCGGAGGGCGCCGCAGCGGAGCGCCTTCGGATCCCTCTGCCTGCCCCAGCACTCGTCGAAGTACGCGAAGCCGTGGGCGCCCCCGCCGCCGCAGAACTTCTCGAAGAGCTCGTCGAACGCGATCACGTCCTGCGGGGGGGGGGGGGGGGGGGGGCGGGCCCCGTGCCAGGCCGCGCCTCCCGCCTGCCCGCGGCGCGTGCGGCGCCGACGCGTGGAGCCCGGCGCCCTGCCCCCCTCGCCACCGCCCCTTTCCCCTCGCCCGCCGTGCCACACGACTCCCCCCATTCCCACCTCTCCCCCCCCCCCCGTCCCTGCTGCCCTCCTCCCCGTGCCCCTCCTCGCTTCTAGGCATCCCCCCCCCGACCCCCCCCATCCAGATCCCCCCCGCCCGCCGCCCACCTGCCCCACCCACCTCGCCCCCCCCCCCCCCCCCCGCGCGTGCCCCGCGTCGGCCGCCGCCACTGTCGCGGTCGCCGTCTCCCGAGACGGTGGCCCCGACAGAGGGGGCGACGGCGGCAGTGGCAGTGCCGAGACGCGCCCAGAGTTCACCACTGGCCATCGCTCGGACATCCATTTCCTGTGTTTTTTTTCGGTTTCGTGCGTGGTTTTTTCGCGAAATGATCAAGGATGCTCCTCGATGGTCCTCGCCGAAGGAAAACTGCACACGTCCGAGCGATGCCGAGACCATGGCATGGAGGTGCAAACCTGGCTTGCCTGGCTGACGCTCTGGGGGGGGGCCTGTGCTCAGGGGGGGGGCCGCAGCACCGCTCAACGAGGTGCCGCCCACCAAACCTGCAGGTTGGGTGGGCCCTCTTCCACTCTTCCGTGCCCTTCACAGCCTTGGCTTCGGCTTCAGCTGTGGGCGCACCGTGAAGCGCATGCGGGCCAGCTCACCCGAGTCGGGTTTTTCGCTCGCACGGATGCTCCCCCCCCCCCCTCTGCCCCCTCCTCTCTCCTTCCAACCGCCCTCTCCCTCATCCCACCCGCGTATCCTTCGTTCGCTCGCGGTCGCCACTGCCGTTCTCCGTTGCTTCAATCCCCCGACCCCCCACCCCCCACCCTCGCATCCCGCATCCATCCCCCCACCGTGCTACCCCCGCCCCTCTCACCCTGCCCGATGTTCGAGCCCCCCCCCCCACACCCACACGTTCTATCCCTCTATCGCCCAATCCCCTCTTGCCCCCGTCCTCCATGCTGACCCGCAAAACTGGGCGTTACACGACTGGTCAAGGCAATGAGGAAGAACCGGAAGGGACGGAGGCGCAGCGGAGGAAGCAGAGGAACAAGACAAGGAGGAATATGAGGATGAGGATGAGGATGAGGATGAGGAGGAGGAGGAGGAGGAGGAGGAGGAGGAGGAGGAGGAGGAGGAGGAGGAGGAGGAGGAGAGGAGGAGGAGGTGGAGGAAGAGGCGGAGGAGGAGGAGGAGGCGGAGGAGGAGGAGGAGGAGGAGGAGGAGGAGGAGGAGGAGGAGGAGGAGGAGGAGGGGGAGGAGGAGGAGGAGGAGGAGGAGGAGGAGGAGGAGAAGGAAGAGGAAGAGGAGCATGGCGCGCCCCCACAGAGCCGTATCAGGGCGATGCCCAGCGCAGGTAGAGAACTCGTGCGAGCCAGGGGTAATTACCTCGTGTGGCGGGGTCGCCCCTGCTTCTCAGCCCCTGGGGTGATTTTCGCAAGAGCTCCTCGGGCGTGCGACGTGCGCGCGCCCTCGCCAGCGGCCCTTGCGTCCTGCACGCCAGTCATCCCAGGGGCTGCGGAAAACCATCGGCATGGGCTGCGGAAAGCCATCGGCAGGCGTCACGAAGCAGTCGCAGCGCCAGGCTTTATCTGTAGACGGCTTCCGGGCCGAGGATCGCAGAGAGGAGAATAAGTTCGAGGAGGAGGAGGAGAAGGAGAAGGAGGAGGAGGAGAAGGAGGAGGAGAAGGAGGAGGAGAAGGAGAAGGAGGAGGAGGATATCAAGGAGCAGGAGCGACCCGCATCGGTAGGGGGACGAGAGACGCCCAACGTCGCCAGCATCCCTGCCTGCCCTGGGCGCACATTGGCGGCCAGCCCGCGCCAGCGCCGCCGCCGTCGGCGGGCGGCGTGCAGACGTGCGGAGACGGCTCCTCCCTGGATGGGGCCGCACATACTCAACAGCCCTGGGAGCCGCCCGAGCTACCGCCGGGGCCTCCTCCGCTGGGCTACTCTGCTCCCCTCTGCTCCGCGGGTGTCGAGGATGATGATGATGAGGAGGAGGAGGAGGATCAGGATCAGGATCAGGCCCGTGGGAGTTCGTCTGCTGCTGCTTATCGCCTGCCAAGCTACTGCCTAGCGGGGTGGGGCAGGGTGAACTCTGGGGGGCGAAACTTGATGCCGCCAACCTTCCAGCGCGGCCCGCGGCTCTCGACGGACGCCGCCCCGCCCCTGCGAGCACCCCCGAGTTCGGCGCGCAGCCTAACGAGGGGCCCACGGATGGGGACCAATGAAAACTGCTGCCGACCCTTGCCCTTTCCTTTGCCCTTCCCCTGACTGCCTCTCCCTCTGCGCATGCTGTCCCTCTGAACGGTGGGGGCAGTCGCTACCGCAGGGCTGTAGGCTGATGGGGCCGGGGGGGGCGCGGTCCAAAACATCTGCACTCGCGCGCCCTTGTGCTATGAGCTCCGCGAGCCTAACACTACCTTGAAATCTGTCGTCGCCCAGAAAGTGTTGCCGAACGGACCGCGGGAGACCAGGAGGGCCACCGTGAACGGTCCCAGGGCAATCCAAAACTTCAAAAGCTTCGGCCTGATTAGGCTTCCTGCCGTGCTGCTCCTACTAAGCTGAGAAGGCCGACCTGCTCTCTCACTCACCTCAGCCGAGCGCCGTTTCTCGCTTCTGCTACTCACTGTGCTGCCTCCTTCAGTTCCGCGAACAGCTTGCTGGCATCCCGCTCCAGCGGCCCGCGTGGCGCGGGGCCTATCTCCCTCCCCGCGCCGAGGCCCGCGAGCATGGCCTCGACCTGCGTCAGCAAGACCCTGCCAAAGGTACGGTCGGTGTCGATCGCGAAAATGATCCGACCCTTGTGATTCTCGCCCTCGGTCTGCTTGCCCTTGTTCCGCTTCCACTGCCAGTGGAGTATCACCTCGCCGACCTCGATCATCTTCATCTTGCTGATCTTCTCCGTCCAGAGGCTGCTGGCCTCCTTCGCCCACACTGGGGCGCCCTTTTTCTCGGCCTCCCGCGCTGCCCACAGCATCGAGGCCATGAAGATCTGCACGAATGGTGGTCCTCTGGCCGACCAGTTGACCGTCTCGCCGCCTGCCGCCTTCTCTTTGATGCTTTTGGATATTTCGTTGCACTGCTGCCCCGACTCCTCCATGGCCGTTGCCAGCCCCGTGCCTGCGTCGATGTCGAATGTTCTGTAGACGGCGGCCGTCAACTCTGCGAGCTGCCGACTGTCCGAGAGCACCAACTTTGCCAACAAGACGACGAGCTGCGCCAGTGTGGAGCCCGCGAGCTTGCTGATGTCTCCTTTGCGGCCTCCTCCCGTCTTGCGGGGCTTGAGGGCGCCCCCGACAGATGACGGGGCCTGCGTCCACTCGGGAACCTCCAACCGCTCTGTGACCTCGGCGTCGGGCATCTTCGTCCGAACTCTGCTGAGAAGAGAGGTTCGCGTCAACGAGCCGTGGGAGATGCCACTCGGCCAAATGACTACAGAGATCATCAGGCCCCCCAGCCTTGCACTCACAGACCTTACAATCGAAGCTCGACAGGACACGAACCTGACGAAATGTCGAAGTGCCCCTCGAAGGACACCACCCTGCCAAGACTGCCCTTTGCAAGTGGTTGTACGCGTTGCCCTGCGACCCGAAGACACGGCGACATACAATATATATGTTCGTTGGTGTGATCGACGAGCATAAGTTATGAACCCGATGTACACGCCCCATATGGTTTCGCAAATCTCGTTTCGTCTGGAAGCCTCGCACACAGGTAAGTCCCTCCTCCTCCCAATCGCACTTCCAAGGGATCAGGGTCACCGTCGAACGAAGCCTCTCCCACCACCGGTGGGGTCGTGAACGACAACTCCCGAGCGCGAATCTCCGTGAAGCCGAGACGAGCGAGGGCCGACACTGTTTCTTGGCTGATCAATGTTCCAGGGAAGCGTGCAACGTGGGCGCAGATATGCCCCTCGTCCATGCACCCTGCGGCCTGCTGGAAATCACTCTGCAACCGAACCAGCAAGCCACGGGGAAGCGCACGCGCGGACCACTTGATTGCCAAGGAGCGCTGCACCGCCAGGGTCAAGTGGCATCGCGCCGAAAAGCAAGCACAACTCCTGCATGTGAGACTCTGGGCGAGTAGCCCAGCTGCGGTACCAGCCCAGTCTGCGAACAAGAAGTTCTGCGGCCGAACTCGCCAGGCGCCAATGATGCAGGACCTGTTTGTTCGTGATGGTCCTCATCCTCCCCTCCTCCTTGCTGATCGCCGCCTTCCCCGGCATCGCTCTCCTCCCGCATCTAGCGATTAGTGCGTCCAGTTCTCGATGGTGTTTAGCGGTCAGCAGCATTGGTTCTGGCCCCGTCGAAGCAGCGTTCTGAACAAGACTGAGGAGCAACGTCCGCTTCCAGCGAAACGGCACGGGTAGACTCCAGACCTGCCCGAGTGAATAATACGCCTCGGCGGTGGCCTGAATCCGACGACGAACTTCTACAGAAGCGGTTTGTTGCAGATTTATTATGGGTCCCAGGTAACGAACATCCCCCTGAACTTCGCCTGAGATCATCTCGCGGCCCCGTCCCCGAATCCACTGCCGACATTTAACTACCCCTGGTCCCTGAAAGCATAGCTGCAACTCCTGTTTCGAAACTCTCTGGGCGCACCCGAACTCCTGCAACTCCTCCGAAAGCGCCTCGTCCGCCCCCTTCAGGACCTCAAGAAACTCACCTACCCTGGAAAAATCAGCTGCGACATGGGCCCTGAAAAAAGTCGTCGGCATACAAATTCGCACCGACGTCCGCTCGGAACTCTCTCCAGTGCGCGATCAACCCCTTCGAACGAGGGCCGATCTCACGGAGTCGCCAAAACCACTGCATGATGGGCCGAGAAAACGTGCCTCTGAAGAGTGTGACTATGTACGGGTCCCCCATCGCGCCTCCCTCTCCCGACTTCAAGTAGACCCCATCCTCCCAGGGACTCCCATCGAACCACGCTACACTGAAAGCGCTGAAGACATAAATCAACAATCTCGGGGGCCGCATGGATGTTCACCGTGTTAGTCAACTCCCCCCCAGACCCACACGCGAAAAGCGTTTGTCATATCCTTATACGCACATGCGAAACTATGACCCGCCCGACGGAATCGCCAACTAAGGAGCTGCACTGCTAGAGTAGCATCGTCTCGCCTACGGCCACGGCAAAACCCATGCTCTATTGTCATCGGGGGCACATCTAGAAGACCAGAGTAGAAAGCCTTCCCAAACGTAGGCAAAACGTGAACCATTCGACGTCCAAGAGGTCCTGGCTTCGCGTTTTTTTTTTTTTTTTTTTTTTTTTTTTTTTTTTTTTTTTTTTTTTTTTTTTTTTTTTTTTTTTTTTTTTTTTTTTTTCTCTCTCGCACTTGTGTCCCCGAGCTACAGTGCCAGCGCATGGGCGTCCTATTCGTGGCCCTGATCAGTCGAAGCCCCCCTTCCAGGATTCGCCCAAACAAATGCATCTCTGGAAACTCCTGCTGGGAGCCCAATCCATGCCCCTCTGTGCTAATGTTTACCAGCGGCCGTAGGCAAAGAAGCCAAAGCTCGGCGGGTGTCGTGCCAGTCGGCACAGCCCGACGCTTCGTGGCCGAGCGGAAATACTTGGTCACCCGCTGCTTATCCTCCTCTGCAAATTCGCGATCGGCCACCGAAATATATGGTGTGGGGCCTGCAGGAAAAGACTCCAGCCACTTCTCGTAGTCTGGAATGACTGATGCAGATATCTCTCCGTCAAGTCCGGCCTGCTTCCAATGGTTGACCAAGACCTCAGCCGAGAAATGACCGCCTCGCAACAACCTGCCACCTCGACTTTGGACCGTAACGACAGTGAGCTGCTGCGCGTGATAGCCTCATAGCCTCCGCCATGTGACGACGTCCCCATGCCTCCTCGATCTCTTCCAGAAGGCCCTGCTGTCGGACGCGAGCGAAATACTGCCGTCGACGCCGTAACTGCTGACTCATTTGCGTCAATCTCGATTCAACTTCCGAAATGTAAACTGCATCTGCATCAGCACACATGCCCACTTTAGCTCGTCGAAGGCGAGCGCACTCTCGAAGAAGTTCAGCTCTCTCGGAAGCTTGCTGTCGATACAATGGATCGCTGGACACCTGGTGGCCGAAGTACTGCTGCCCAACCTGTACGAGGGTTTCCTCCATGTGCTGAAAGACCTTGTCTGGTCTACCAGTAGACAGCATTGCCCGCCATGTGTCCTCACTATCATGCAACGACTCCTCCACTGCTGAAAGAAAGTCGCCCCTCCGATAGCCCTTCCGTAGGCATCTCATCATGTCATCAAGATTCCAGCGCGTGCGAGTGTGCGCTGAGTTCGGCTCCTTATCCAATGGCTGCATACCCTGCAATTCGACGCACAAGGGGACGTGGTCTCTCGGGGGTGGCCTTCTGTAGGCCTGTAGCTCTGCACCCAATCCAAACAATGGAGAACATCTTGAGACCATGTCAATCATGCCTGTTGGGACGAAAATGTAATCAACACAGCTGCTGACGCCTTGTGCGCCGTACCATGTGTGCTCCAGCTCCGCCTTCAGCGTGTTCGTCGCGAACATGTGCTGCCGCTGGTTAGTGTGCCTGAACACTTAACCTGCACCACCTCTACGTTGTTCTCGGCATCTGCCCTCCCCCACTGCCGTCGACTCGATTCGCGTCCACTTGCCAGATATGCGCATGACGCCCTGGCCGTCGTTGAGGTCGACATAGACCAGCGGAGTGCACCGAGCAGGCAAGCTCTGAAGAAGAGACTCATACCAGGACCCAATCAGCTTCATTGTGGCCAGGTACTGGGGCTGCGCTGCCGCGTACTTAGCCTGAGGTGGGAGGTACATCGCCACTGCCGCCAGGTCCAGTGGCCCGCGACGGATCCGAGCTGCCACTGCGCGACCTCCAGCCTCGAGTGGACTAGCCCAGACCTGCCTCACGTGCTTCTACTTGAACTTGTTGCCCAGGATGATCGCGCAACCTGTGGACTTGTTCGAGAACTGCGCCGTAGTCGCTTCTGCTTCCAGGACGAGGCGGTTCTGAACCCGAGACGCGAGCACCTCCTCAGCGCGGCGATGACTGCGCTGTGTGCCCGCCAGCAGCACCAAATCCATGTTCGCGCAGCTCTGGACGATCTCCTGCATCCTGGTACCCGTGGCGGACATCGGGTTGAATCCCAGTACACGCAGAGCCCACTGGCCCACGGGCCGCACCATCGCGTGCGCGGTCGCCCACCTCGAGGAGGAGGAGGAGGAGGAGGAGGAGGAGGAGGAGGAGGAGGAGGAACTGGAGGAGGAGGAGGAACTGGAGGAGGAAGAGGAGGAGGAGGAGGAGGAGGAGGAGGAGGAGGAGGAGGAGGAGCCGCCATCCGAAGGCTGAGTCTCGGCCCCACGCCCCCCGCTCCTCGCTGCTGCTGGTGTTGCGGCGGAAGTCGCCGCCCAGGGGCTCCATGTCGGCCAGCGGCAGCGCGGCGGCGCCGGCGCCGGCGCCGCCTCGGGGGGGGGGGGGGGAAGGACACCGACCCCGCGCCTCGGCGGGACGCGCACGGACAAACGGGTACGTTGTGTCCTCCTCGGAGGCGTGCGTCGTTTCCCGAGCGGCACGGCCAGGAAGCACCCGCCACCGAGCATGCACTCTGAGACTTCTCGGCGCGCGCGCGTCTCTCCTTGGGGGGTGATGCACACTCTGTATTAGTATGTTTGGGCGACGCCGACTCTGGACTCACGAGCAGGAGTCGAACGGCCGCAGGTCTTCCTGCTGTCTCTGTGCTGCCATGAGGCGCTCTCCTTGCCACGGCGGGCCTCGGGAACGCATTAGACCCGCAGGAGCGGCTCCGGAACCGGAGGTCGTCCTGATCCCAGAACGGTCCCTGGCTCAGCGTCTTCGCTGTAAGCTTGGGCCTCTGGAGGCCCTTTCTGCAAGAGGGGAAAGGAGATCGGCACCGCCACCGAACAGCGAGGGGAGCCAGGTGGTGGCACTCCTCATTGCTTGAGCAGGGAATGGCCGTCACGCCATTCCCATAGGCCTGCCACGGCATGTTCTCAGAACGACAGAATATTCTAAGGACCAACGATCTGCCCTTGGACCATAAAACCGATGTGTCAAAACGAAACAGTCTCAGCCAGAAACGTTCCAAGAATACCTCGTGCAAGCCACGAAAAGTTTCTCGGAGCATTCTATGGTGGGCCTATATGGCCTGTAGGCCCACCGCTATAGGCCCGCCTAGAGTACAGGCGAGCCAGGTCGCTTCGCCCCTGCTCGAGTCGTGTTGCACCCATGTTCTGCAGTGTCGCGCTCGGGCACCTCCGACCTCCGGCTCGGGGGGGCGTCGTGGGCCTCGCGGGGAGGTGGCCCGCAGGCGGGGCAGCGATGTCGCTCCTCCCTCCCTCCTCCTCCTCCTCCTCCTCCTCCTCCTCCTCCAACCTCCTCCTCCTCCTCCTCCCCCTCCTCCTCCTCCTCCTCCTCCTCCAACCTCCTCCTCCAACCTCCTCCTCCTCCTCCTTCCCCAACCTCCTCCTCCTCCTCCTCCTCCTCCTCCTCCTCCTCCTCCTCCTCCTCCTCCTCCCTCCTCCAACTTCTCCTCCTTCCTGCGATCCTCGGCCCGGAAACCATCTACAAACAAGCCGAGCACTGCAACTGCTTCGTGACGTGGGCCCCCTGGGCGTCGACCACTTTCCCCATGCCGGCTCTTCATCCCGAGTGGTCTTGTTGGCAAGAGAGCCCAGAATCGGATCGCTGAGTCGAATCGGCGATCGAAATGAATCGGATCGGAAGAAATCGACAGCCCAGCGAAGTCGAGCCGAATCGAATCGCAAGAATCGAAACGGGCCCTGCGTGGATGGTCCTTTGCCCGAGGCCGCGCCAACGGCGTGCTTGGTTAACGGTGCGTATGGGAATATTATGTTCGTGACACCGAGCTCACGCAGAACAAAATGCAGGACATCACGGAACACCGCTTCCCACAACTCGAATCTTACGCGAGTGCTTCGAGCGAGCGCGACGCAGCAGACTGCAGGAAGACGCGACCCACGCGTTCCTGCAGTTGGCTTGGCCACGAACCACGACCTCCAACACTGGGTTGTCCTACTTCGCAGCGAGCTACCACACACCGTTGGCGCGTCGACGGGGGGATATGGTCCCCTGCGCCGGGCGCCGGGCGCCGGCCGCCCCCGAAAACGAGGCCGCGCAGGCAGTGGAAGGCGGGCCGCATGCTCGCTTTTTTTCGCTTTGCTGCTGCGACGGGGCCCTTAGGGAGGGTCTGGCCCTGGCCCCCCACACCCTGGGCGGCTCGGGTCGGGCACGCCCCCCTGCAGGCGGCCGTTGGAAGGAAGACAAAAAAAACACAACACCCCAAACGGACTTCAAACAAATTGTCAAAATACATAGTCCGCTCGTCTGTTCATTCACTGTCTTGCCGATCGGCGCGGGCCCCCCGAACCCCTCATGGAGTAGATCTTGGCTGTCGTTTGGCGCCTGTTTCGAGCGGGTGGAGTCTCCCCCAGAGGCAGCACTCTTGCAAACAGTCGCACTGAGCAGAGGTCTGGAGCCAGACCCCCCCCCTTCCGCCCAATGTTGAAACGCCGGATAAAAAAGGAAACGCTCACCACACAAAAACGTCGCCGGACTTTACCACGGGCCTACCTGCTACAGGCAGGAAACCAAAACATTGGTGCAACATTGGTGTTGGTTTTGCCGCCATGCTTGTTTCGGCGTTGGGTTTCTTTGATGTATGATTGGTGTTATTTTGCTGCGCCCCCCCTCGTCTGCTCCAAATTTGCTTGGTGCGCTCAGACTGTCTAGCCCAAAATATTGTTTGACACTCGTCTGGGCTGTAATTTTGTTCAGAAAATACGAGTCTGGCCCAGACTATTGTTTGACAATCCTCGACCCTTCCTTCCGTAGAGGGGCGCGACCGACTCAAATCCTTGGGGGCGGCCCAGATGTCCTGCCTCCGCATGGCTCCCCAGGAGGCTGGGCCCTCCTTTTTCTCTCCCGCCTTGACAAAGAGAAAGGTCAACATGAACATCACCAACCTCCCTCCCCTTCTCCCTCCCTCCCTCCCTCCCTCACCCCCTCCCTCCCTGAGATCCGACGTCTCGAACAACTTGAGGCATCACGAGACGTCACGACTGGAGCCCTGGACGCCATCCTTCCGCGCCAGCTTTCGAGCCGCATCGATCTGTCAGGGCGCTGGGGCCCGAATCTGGGCGAAGACGGCCGGCTCGGAAAGCCCGTCCATGTACCGCCTGTACACGCAGCTGGCAATAGTCGTAAAGAGCCGAACTCTATACACCGACGCTGTTTCTGGCTCTGCACTGGAATGCGCACAGGAAGGCGGATCCTGGTGTATGCGGGATATTGGTGTATACATGTTTCGTTGGTTCCCTGGGAAAACGGGGAAAAACGTCTACCACACCACCCTGACGTCGTCCCCCACCCTTAAAAAGTCCTGGGATTGAAATAACTTACAGCCCGGCACTGGTAATGTATAGGCTCCAATTTCCGAAGTCGGCCCCCTCCCCAACGGCTGGAAAGCAACACAACATCCCGAGTCGCTTCCGACTGTGCCAGGACCCAGGGGTCACAAAAACGGAAACGTAGAACAACAAAACAAGCACGGAAAACTAATCGGCGGTCGCGTTCGCCTGTCCACCCAAAAAACAAAAACGGTCACAAAGGTCCTCATGACCGTTCTTGTTTTCCTTTCTGGGGTAGCAGTCGCTACCCAAAGAGGGGGGGGGTCAGGCGGGAGGGCAACGGTAACGGCGGCCGCGGCGTGTACCCGGGTGCGTCCGCGCCACTGGCGCGTCGATCGCCGATGTGCACCACAGCATGTATGGGGGAGGTCCAGCCCTCCCCCCCACAAATACGATCGTTGGCATTGCCCGGGCTGGGAGGAGGCTTGGTCCGGGTGACGAGTTACCTGGGGGAGGAAAACGCTCACCACGGGGACCTGAAAGCGCCAAAAGCTTTCCTGGCGTGACGATCGTCGCAAAGGCGCGAGGAGGTCAGGGGATGGGCGCGAAGAGGGCCTGGGGAAACCAAAAGATACCGATACCGCTACTGCCTGGGCCGCGCCCGCGGTGCGCTCTGAAGGGACTTCGAGGCGAACCAAGTCGTACCGCCGTACCCAGAGATCCGACGTCGTGATTTTTTCGATACGCGGTCCCCAGAAGTCTCGACCCATTCCCCAGGACCAATTTTCCATCCTGAGCCGTTTTTTGACAGCCCCGAGGCCCGGCGAGGGCCCCTAGGGGCCGAAATTTGCGAATAACCTCCGTCTTGATTTTTACAATACGTTGGATCTTTGAGTAGCGACGAGGCCCTCCCAGGAAGTCCAGAAAGGCGAACACAAGGGAACGGTAGCGCCATGGGCGCCCCCTTCCCAGCTTTCGCTTCGCCAAACGGGATTGGGAGCCCGAGACCGTCCGCAGAGATCGCCCTAGGTCTGGCAGCCTTCTCGCGGGAGGCTTCCCCACGGGAGCCGTGCCCTCGCCTCCATGCGGGCTGCACGTGTGGTCCGGCCAGCCACGAGCTTTTGTCAGAAAAGAGGCACACAGCCCTGCTCTGACCCCGCCACGGGGGCCGCAGGTGGGGCTCCTACTACGGGGCCGCGAAGCGCTGTACGGGGTGTGGCGACGCATGTGGCCATCCCCACTGGGGCCCTGGGTGGACCTCCCTACCCAGACCCCCTCGAATAATGAAAAAATCACGACGGGAGGTTTTCCTTCATTTTCGGCCTCCGGGGGGCCCTCACCGGGCCTCGGGAGCGTCAAAAAACGACTCAGGACCCAAAGCCGGTCATGGGGAAAGGGTCGGGACCTCTGGGGATCGACGTAATGAAAAAATCATTACGTCGGTGGTTTGGGTATGGGGCCGCGAAACGCTGTACGGCGTGTGCTGCCCCGGAAGCAAAAACTGCTGCACAGGCGTAAACTTCGGGAGCTCCGCACGGGTGTCCTGGATCTGCGCGGGGCGCCCCTGCCCCGGAGCGCGCAGCAGGAGCGGCGCTGGAGGCGCCGCCGAGGGGGGGGGGCCCCCAGCGCCGAGAGCCGAGAAATCGGCGCGGACCTCCGACAGTTCACGCTTACGCCACTGTTCCCCAAGCAGTGCTTGCACTGACGGGGTCCTGGCGGATATTGCCAGATTTGGCGAACATTTCCCGCCGATGCTGGTCGCCCGCTGGGTTCCCCGGTTCCCGGTTCCGGGTTCCCGGGTTCCTGGTTAACCTCAGGAAGGCATTAAGAAACCCCCCTGGGTTATTCTTAGCACCCGGTTTTCTCAATATTCCAGGCGGGCAGTTTTAGCCGAACGATACACTTAGCACCCGCCGCACACAGAAAACAAAATCCACCATCGGCGGCCGCCCCACTAACGCCAAGAGAGGGTGTCGTGACGAATGTCAAGGATCTAGCCCAGATCTTAGCACCGCGTGGCGCGGAAATTCCAAAGACAGCGAGGCGTGCACTCAGAGTATCTCTGAATGTGAGTGAGTCTCCTCAGCCAGGTCTTCCGGTGCTGCCATAACGCTCCAGGGTGCGGGGGCGTTATAATCCACCGGAAAGTGGGGGGGGGGGGTTCTTAATGCCTTCCTGAGGTTATTGGTTCCGGGCTGATTTCTGAGGGCTCCGGGTTCTCGGGTTCCCGGTCGATCTCCTCATCGATCTCTTCATCGATCCATTTATTCAAGTCATCCACTGATTGGGGCTTTCCTTTGGTGTGATTTCTTCCTCGAAAGCCACCCCTCCTCTCTCACCAACGTCTTCCTCGGCGCTCTTCCACGAACGCCGTCCCTCCCCCCTCCAAGACTTGACTTATGTTACTCCCATCGTACTTAAGGACCACATCCCAGAAACAAGGTCGAGCACCCGGAAAAGTGTCGAACGAGTGTCGAAGCAGTGTCGGGCGAGAGCCTCCCGGGGCCCGACACGTGAAAACCCTAGGGCTCCAGTACTCTTTCCCAGACCCCCGACGTAATGATCTTTTCATTACGTCGACCCCAGGGGTCCCGACCCTTTCCCCAGGACCGGCTTTGCATCCTGAGTCGTATTTTTACGCTCCCGAGGCCCGGTGAGGGCCCCCCGAGGCCGAAAATTAGGAAAAACCTCCCGTCGTGACTTTTTCATTACTCGAGGGGGTCTGGGTAGGTTGGGACAGCACAAGAATTGACACGGCGATGTCGTTGCCCGTTCTTCGATGGCCGACCTCCTGCTCCTCGACCGGCCGGCTCGCCTCCCCTGGCTGCTGCATGGGGTGCTCCGCTGCGGGAGCCCTCCTCCTCCTGGCCACCGCTCGGACGTCCACTCCCTGCGCTTGCTTCGGTCTCGTGCGCTGCTTTTTCTTCCGCGGGATGATCCAGGACGCTCCTCCATAGCCCCCGCCATCGCTCGGACGTCCATTCCCTGCGCTTGCTTCGGTCTCGTGCGCTGCTTCTTTTTCCGCGGGATGATCCAGGACGCTCCTCCATAACCCCCGCCACACCGCTCGGACGTCCACTCCCTGCGCTTGCTTCGGTCTCGTGCGCTGCTTTTTCTTCCGCGGGATGATCCAGACGCTCCTCCATAACCCCCGCCATCGCTCGGACGTCCATTCCCTGCGCTTGCTTCGCTCTCGTGCGCTGCTTCTTTTTCCGCGGGATGATCCAGGACGCTCCTCCATAACCCCGCCACCGCTCGGACGTCCACTCCCTGCGCTTGCTTCGGTCTCGTGCGCTGCTTTTTCTTCCGCGGGATGATCCAGGACGCTCCTCCATAGCCCCGCCATCGCTCGGACGTCCATTCCCTGCGCTTGCTTCGGTCTCGTGCGCTGCTTCTTTTTCCGCGGGATGATCCAGGACGCTCCTCCATAACCCCCGCCACCGCTCGGACGTCCTCCATTCCTCGCTCTCCATTCCCTGCGCTTGCTTCGGTCTCGTGCGCTGCTTCTTTTTCCGCGGGATATCCAGGACGCTCCTCCATAACCCCCGCCATCGCTCGGACGTCCACTCCCTGCGCTTGCTTCGGTCTCGTGCGCTGCTTTTTTTTCCGCGGGATGATCCAGGACGCTCCTCCATAACCCCCGCCATCCGCTCGGACGTCCACTCCTGCGCTTGCTTCGGTCTCGTGCGCTGCTTCTTTTTCCCGGGATGATCCAGGACGCTCCTCCATAACCCCGCCATCGCTCGGACGTCCACTCCCTGCGCTTGCTTCGGTCTCGTGCGCTGCTTCTTTTTCCGCGGGATGATCCAGGACGCTCCTCCATAACCCCCGCCATCGCTCGGACGTCCACTCCCTGCGCTTGCTTCGGTCTCGTGCGCTGCTTCTTTTTCCGCGGGATGATCCAGGACGCTCCTCCATAACCCCCGCCATCGCTCGGACGTCCACTCCCTGCGCTTGCTTCGGTCTCGTGCGCTGCTTCTTTTTCCGCGGGATGATCCAGGACGCTCCTCCATAACCCCCGCCATCGCTCGGACGTCCACTCCCTGCGCTTGCTTCGGTCTCGTGCGCTGCTTCTTTTTCCGCGGGATGATCCAGGACGCTCCTCCATAACCCCCGCCATCGCTCGGACGTCCACTCCCTGCGCTTGCTTCGGTCTCGTGCGCTGCTTCTTTTTCCGCGGGATGATCCAGGACGCTCCTCCATACCCCGCCATCGCTCGGACGTCCACTCCCTGCGCTTGCTTCGGTCTCGTGCGCTGCTTCTTTTTCCGCGGGATGATCCAGGACGCTCCTCCATAACCCCCGCCATCGCTCGGACGTCCACTCCCTGCGCTTGCTTCGGTCTCGTGCGCTCTTCTTTTTCCGCGGGATGATCCAGCTCCTCCAACCCCCGCCATCGCTCGGACGTCCACTTCCCTGCGCTTGCTTCGGTCTCGTGCGCTGCTTTTTCTTCCGCGGGATGATCCAGGACGCTCCTCCATAACCCCCGCCATCGCTCGGACGTCCATTCCCTGCGCTTGGTTCGGTCTCGTGCGCTGCTTTTTTTCCGCGGGATGATCCAGGACGCTCCTCCCCAGACCCCCGACGTCATGATTTTTTCATGACGTCGACCCCCAGAGGTCCCGACCCTTTCCCCATGACCGGCTTCTCATCCTGAGTCGTTTTTTGACGCTCCCGAGGCCCGGTGAGGGCCCCCCGAGGCCGAAACTTAGGAAGAACCTCCCGTCGTGATCTTGTCATCACTCGAGGGGGTCTGGGTCCACCACCCCCGCCGAGAAAAGAGTGCACACGTCCGAGCGATGCCCCGCCTCCGAGGTCGAGTGGCCCGGGGCCCCCCTGGGGCGCGGCAGCGTCGGTTTTTCGCGAGCGCGCGCGCGGGCGCCCGCGGGCGCACCCCGCAAGCCCTCTGTGAGCGGCAGCTGTTTGGGGGGGACTGGCTCGGCGCTCCGAGACGGCTTAAGAGGCCCCCAAGATCGCCCCAAGAGGCCTCCAAGAGGGCCCCCAAACGGCCCAAGAGGGCCCATGCGGCACCCAAGACGGCCCAAGAGGGCCCCGAGACGGCCCCAACAGGAGCCCACGAGAGGGAACACGGACCGAAAACCCAAGCCTTCCGCCCCGAGAGGCCCCCGGGAGGGGGGGGACATCGACCTGGAACCTGCGGTGCACCGCCGACAGATCGCCGGTGGGGCCCCCGATCGCGAATCCGATAGATCGCCGATGGGGCCCCCTGTTTGGGGGGGACTGGCTCGGGAGGAGGGGACATCGACCTGGCACCGGCGATGAACCGCCGACAGATCGCCGGTGGGGCCCCGGTCGCGAATCCGAACGCTCCTGGGCGTGGCGGGCCCACCCGGCGACCCACCCCGCCACCAACCCGCGACCCCACCCGCGACCTCCCTGCGACCCACCCGCGACCCAACCGCATTGCTTGGACGAAGATTCGGCGCCTGCGGCGGGCTCGTCGTGTCATGTGTAAACGATCGGCGCGGCGTACGGCTTCAGAGACTCGCAAAGCCGACGACCACGCCGCCACTTCACTCTTATCCGCAACTGCGGGCACTATGGTATGGCTATGTTCGGCCTCCTCGCTGGGCCCAAGGACCGCCAGGCAACGACCCAAGGAAACCAGCCTTCTTCGTCTTCGGCCCCTGGGAAGCCGCGTCCCGAACCCCGAGGCCGTGAACAGAAAAACTCGAGACGAGAAGCCGGCCCCGAGGACGTGGTCGAGGCCCGGGGGGCCCTCGTCACGAAGCGGCTGCAGCGCCGCACCCAGACCCCCGACGTCATGATTTTTTCATGACGTCGACCCCCAGAGATCTCGACCCATTCCCAAGGACCGGTTTTTCATCCTGAGTCGTTTTTTGACGCTCCCGAGGGCCGGTGAGGGCCCCCAGAGGCCGAAAAGTTAGGAAAAACCTCCCGTCATGATTTTTTCATTACCCGAGGGGGTCTGGGCAAGGAGTGCGACGCGCGTCTGCGACCGACCGGTGCCCCAAGCCATCCGCCACCGCGCCCGCAGCGGCCGGCGTGCGGCGGGCCAGTGCTGCTTCGCTCGCCGCAGCCCAGCGGGCGCAGCGAGCCCGACGGGTGGCCCATCTGTGGGAACAGGTCCCAGCAGTCTCTTCAGCTCACGGAGCAGCAGGTCGCAACTGTCTGTGCCAAAATAGGGTAAAAAAAAAAAAAAACAAAAAAAAAAAAAAAAAAAAAAAAAAAAAAAAAAAAAAAAAAAAAAAAAAAACGGGCGGCGCGCCCCCTGCCCCCTCCCCCTTTCCCCCGCCTCCATCTCAGACAGGCGGCGCGCCGAGGGGGGGGGGGAAGTGAGAGGGGGCAGGCCTTCTCAGGAGGCGGCGGGGCAACTCAGAAGCCTTCGGTGGCAACTCACGGGAGCCTCCCGTACCATCTTGTCGGCTCTTGCGAATCGACGCTGATCGACGCTGAATCGACGCTAATCGATGCAATATCGGCGCTATCTCATCGACCCCAGACGCTAATCGACGCCAGCGACGGAACTAAGAGGGTATACCAGGCTCGCATGATTTGCCACCGAAGTACGCCGACCGCGGGATGAAACGGGGTCCAGACTGCTGGTCTGATTCGATACGGTCAAGACGTGCGATGAGAAACCCTGCCGCAAGAAGTCCAGGGGCGCGTTTGATTCATCCAAGGCTTCTTCTCCTTCTTTGTCGTGCTCCATGTACCCCCACCCCCCGTGCCAAAACCGTTCGCCACGACCTCGACCTGCGACCTCACGCCAAAAACGTCGGACATAATGAGACAGATCAGCCCGCCTCAGGCCCCATGGAGATGGCACGCATTATAGCCTGCAACCGCCCGGGCGGCATGATGCGCAGGCCTGCTGGGAACGACATCGGCTGCGAGCCGGTGGGAGGCATCGGGTCGTCCATCGGGCCAGGGATGCTCATCTCGTTGGCCCATGCGTCGTCCGCGGCCGGAAGGTCCGCGTCGTCAGCGCCTGGCAGTACCGGGGCTCTCACAGAGGAGAGGAACAAACGGAAGGCCAGAGCGCGCACACACGGGAGCGGGGCCGCATGAGCGTGGCGATGCTCGCCAACAAGCTCCCGCACGAAGCGCTCATCACGCCTGCAGAGCAGTCGCCGGACACGACAGCGCACAACACGAAGGCTGCAGGAGCGGCACCAGCAGTTAAAAGGGGCCCCAAACACACACACAAAGAAAGATACACGAATATAGCAAGATTCCCCACCTTTTCCCATACGTTCTGGGCTTTTGTCTTCCCCCCCCCTCCCATCTTTTCCTGGGGATCGACGATGAAGTGTGTCTGTGTATTTTTTAAAAAGAGGAAAACAAAACTACCTCGCTTTTGACCACCCTCGCTTCCAAGAGATACCAAGCGATGCCAAACTACGGCCTGTACTGGTCAGGCCGCTTGACGAGGAGGCGCGTGGTATGACTTGGTTTTGCCTGGAAGCGAAAGCGGGGTAGGTAATTCACGCTCTGATTTTTCCCCCTCCTGCAGACGCGGCCACGCGCGACCTCGGAGAAACGCCGGCGCCGGCGCACCGAGGGCGGCGGCCACGGGGCGGCCGCCACGGCGCCCGCCACAGACCGAGCGATCTGGAGGTGCCAGCCGGCGCACGGGGCGGCCACGCGCGCCCGCCGTGGGGGGGGAAAAAGTTCCGGGAGCCCGGAGCCCCAGAATGGTTGCCACCTCTTACCGGGAGCCCAAAACCCCAGACCCCCTCGAGAACCGGGAGAGGGTTCCGCCCCTCGATGCCCCGGAGGCCCGCCCCTCCCCATCCTCGCCTTCCCTCTCCCCCGCCCCCAGACCCCCAGGAACCCCAGAGAGTTCCGGGAGCCCGGAACCCCAGACCCCCTCGAGGAATGAAAAAAACACGGCGGGCGGTTTTCCTTCATTTTCGGCCTCCGGGGGCCCTCACCGGGCCTCGGGAGCGTCAAAAGACGACTCAGGATGCAAAGCCGGTCATAGGGGATGGGTCGAGATCTCTGGGGGTCGACGTCATGAAAAAATCATGACGTCGGGGGTCTGGGTCTTGGACGCTTGGCATCTCCTGGATGGTCGGCGTTTGCTTCCGCTGGCTTCCGCTTTGGAGGCCCGGCGTGGCTGCGGACAGGATGAGAACGATGCCCATCCACACACGTTGTCCAACAGCGACAGCGGCCGCCGTTGGGCAAGCGGCCCTCTGTCTCGAATGCGCAACGACCGCGGCGACGCCAACCCCAAACCCTGCTCAGAACGAACAAGAACCGCTGGTGGATTCTGTACCCACTCCTTCTTTCATTAGCTTGGGCAACGGCTGTTACCCGGAGGGGGGGGGCCGGCGGGTCGGCGGCCGCAGCGTGCATCAATTGCCGTACCTGCTGAGAGAAGGGGGGTCCGCCCTCCACCCCCCAAAAAACGTAGGATCGTTGGCGTTACCCGGGGGTGGGGGTAGCGGGGGGGTTGGGCCCGGCTAACAAGCGTTACCCTCCAGAGGAAAAACAACAAAAAAAACGCTCTCCGTGCCCATCTCGATCCCCCCGACGGGGGGAGCCAGAAGGTACCGATGCCTCTCCTCCCCGGACCTCTCCCGGGGTGCGTTCTGACCAGGATGCCGAGGCGAAGCCAGCAGTGGCGACCACGGCCTCCCGGGAGGCCCAGCAGAGGGGAAGACGAGGGAAGCGCAGTGGTAGGGGCACCCTGTCCCAGACCCCGGCACGTCACGATTGTCTCATAACTTCCTGATCTGCCGCTGGCCTTCCGCCGGCTTCCGATGGGCCTGTTTCCCACCACCACCACCACCACCACAAGTTGGGGGGGGGAGGAGGAGGAGGAGGAGGAGGAGGAGGAGGAGGAGGAGGAGGAGGAGGAGGAGGAGGAGGAGGAGGAGGACCCCCTCCCCCTCCGACCTGCGGTGGTGGTGGTGGAAAACGGGCCCACCAGCTTCCGCCGGCGGAGGTAGCCTCGTTGCACGTCCGCCGCCTGCCGCCGCCCTCTTCCGCCGCCCTTCCGCCCAGGGAACCTCCGAGAGGGCAGCTGCGTCGAGGCCCTCGACGGCGAGGGCCCCCCTCTCCGGGAGCGCCCCGTGCGGCGAGGAGACGGGGGAAAAACCAGGCTCCGGCGGCAGCTCATGGGAGCCCCTCCCGTACCATCTCGTTGGCTCTGGCGAATCGACTCTGCATCGAAGCACCATCGACGCTAATGATCAAAGCGACGCGAAATCCGCCGACCCTGTCGGCGTGTTTGAAGGGCTTCTCCGTTCGACTCGTCGTCTCCGTCGTCTCCGGTCTCCCCCTCCCAGGGCTCTCCTCCTCAAGCGCGCTATCCAAAGCGAAATTAAACGACGTCGTAGTGGAGTCGAAGGGAAGCCCCTTCCCTTTGATCCCTTCCCCGCAGGGGGGGGGGAGGGGGGGGGGGGCCGGGGCAGATACGACGCCCGCCGGGGCGCACTTTCCTCGAGCGGGCACGCACGGGATGCACTTCCTCCTCCTCCTGGTCCTCCTCCTCCTCCTTTTCCTCCTCCTCCTCCTCCTCCTCCTGCTCCTCTCTCCTCCTCCTCCTCCTCCTCCTCCTCCTCCTCCTCCTCCTCTCCTCCTCCTCCCGCAGAGGCGTCCCGGGAGCGGGCCCCGAGTCAAAATACCACCCCCCTAGGGCGCATTTTCCTCGAGCGGGCACGCCCGAGATGCACTTCTTCCTCTTCCGGGAGCACGTCCCAAGTCAGAATATCACACTCCCGGGGCGCACTTTCTTCGAGCGGGCACACAAAGGATGCACTTCCTCCTCCTCCTCCTCCTCCTTTCCTCCTCTCCTCCTCCTCCTCCTCCTCCTCCTCCCCCTCCTCCTCCTCCTCCTCCTCCTCCTCCTCCTCATCCTCCACTTCCTCCCCCCACTCCTAGCCCTTTCGATCAGGGTCGGCGGCACCGGCCGTCAGGCCTCTCCAATCGGCGCAGAGCCGGCGCTGAATCGGCGCCGCCTCATCGACTCCAGACGCTACCGGCGCCGCTGGTCGACGCGAAAGACGGAATTCAGCGGGTACAGTGCGGGCGCGGCCGCAAGAAACCCTCGCAAGAAACCCAACCCTGAGAACCCGTGCGCGAGGTGCACCTGAGGGGAAACCTGGAGCACCCTGAACGCAGCAGCTCCTCCGGCGGCTGCGGGAAGACGCCGCGCAGCGCGAGGAGCGAAGGGACCCAGGATACCCTGACGAGAAGCATGTGGTTTCTTGATGCGCGCCCCCACTGTACACCCAGCACCCCGGATCCGCCACCGAGCCAAGCCCAAACGCACGGGGCGCGGCAGGCGAGGCTCCCACGGCCAGCTCCGAGCGAGGGCTATAATATAAGAGAGCAGCCCGCCCGCGCACGAGGGGGCGGGGCGGCCGGGAGGCGACCGCGGGCCGCGCCCTTCCGGGCGACGAGCAGGACCCCTCTCCAAGTATACATCCACGGCTGAGCAAGAATGCTTGAGGCACCGGCGACGGAGATCGGCGGCGAGCGATGGGGGAGGTGAGACGGAGAAGGCCTTCTGAGAAGGCGGCGGGGCTTCTCAGAAGGCCTGCCTCCTGAGAGGGTTCCCGCATCTCCGGGGCAGGCTTCGAACACCTCTCAGAAGGCTGGCGGACTTCCGAGCCTTCTGAGAAGGTCCGCCCCTTCTCACTTCCCCCCATCGCTCGCCGCCGATCCGAGGAATACATGTAGCAAACACACGATGTCAGAGCTCTGCACCGATCTCTTGGACTGGCGCTGGGCACCAGCCTGGCGGCGCCTCTGGCGCCGCTCCTTCTGCGCGCTCCGCGCGCGACAGGAGTGACCGGGGCCTCCGGCGCAGATCCAAAACATCCGCGCGGAACTCCACCAACTTGTGGTCGTGCCGTTTGCATATTCGTCCGTGTGAGCCTACGGATCGCAGCTGGGCAAGGCTGTTGGAGGTGCAGGCGACGAAGAGCGAGAACGATACCGAGGCTGCCGTCGCCCGCAGGCGGCCCAAGATCGGGGCGGCGGGGGCGCAGACAGCACGCGCTGGTCGCCAGGGCGGCGGGAGCGCAGACAGCACGCTGCTGCCCTGCGGCAGCAAGAGACAACAACGAGAGACGGAAGGGATCGGTGACCCTGGACAGGCGCGTTCCACTACTCGCAACGTAACTGCTCGCAGATGGCCTGGATCCGCCGCGGGGAATTCACGATCTATTACATCGAAGGCACACCTGCGATTTTAAGACGTTTGCGAGTAGGCACTTTGCGAGAAATGGAACGCGCTCGGTGAGACACATGAGCAACGGAAGGCGGCGGGACTACCTGGGCGGCGAGCCCGGGGGGGAAGTGAGAAGGGGCGGGCCTTCTCAAAAGGGGAGGCCCCCCAACCTTCTGAAAAACCATCTAAGCCTTCCCCGAGACACGGAACCCTCGCAGGAGGCCAGAAGCCTTCTGAGAAGCCCCGCCGCCTTCTGAGAAGGCCTTCTCCTTCTCACCTCCTCCTCGCTCGCCGCCGGCTTACGCGAGATGACGCAGTAGCCCTACGCCGCAGCTAACATGGGCCATCAGTGCGGTACGCTACACTGGAAACGAGGGCGCTTGCGCGCGAGCTTACGCGAGCAACTTACGCAGGAAGGTGGGCGCAATCGAACCCTTTCCTCTTGTGTGGCTCACCTGTTTTTCATGTAACATTCAGATCGGAATCCGACGTCGAATCAAATCGGAAGCCATCGACATCGGATCGAATCGGAGGAGTTGAAATCAGCCCTGAGCTGCAGGCGCCAGATGCGCGACGAGAACCTCGACGGGAGGGGGGAAGCACACATAACTCAGGCCGCAGAGAAAGCTGTTTCCCCTCCCTGCGCAGGGATCAGGGACGGGGGGGGGTCCGTCGCTTTTGCAATTCCGGATCCCCGCCATTTTGCTATCTTGGAACACATGTCTCGTCGATCTTGGGCTAGGTCGGGCATGTCCTCCTACAGGCGGATATTGGAAGAAGCATGCGAACACGACAAATCGTTCCCATACTGTATTTGTTACTCTTCTTGAGCACGCTTCCTGTAGAGGGACATGCCCGACTTACATCTTGAGGGCCCCAACACTTCAGCAATTCCCCAGGGCCACCAAGGAAGGGCAAACCTGTGAGAAGCATCCACTGGCGCGCCGGCTTGTGAACTGATGTGCCTGCTGCATCGGTTTCGCTCCTGAGCCTCTCGATGAGATTGTCGGCGCGCACAAAAGGTGTAGAAGGAGGCGGAAGGCTTCTTAGAAGGCGGCTACCTCTTAGAAGGCGCCGGCCGCCTTTCTAAGAAGCCAGGGGCGCGTTGCCTCCTAGAAGCACCCCAGCAGAAGCACGGAGCCGCTTCGCAGAAGCAAAAGCAGCGTCTTGGAAGCACGCCAGGAACAGCTTCTCAGAAGCAGCCAGGAGCTCCCGAGAAGGGGCGCCAGCGCCTTCTAAGACGGTGGGGGCGCTTCCAAGAGATCTCCCCGCCTCTCGCCACCCCCTCTGCGCGTGGCCGATCAAAGGTGGGGAGGGTCGCCACCCCCGCCGTCATATACAGGCAATACTCATATCCATATCCAGAGCGTCTTGGTCTTTCTTGGAAGGGGTGCCGCAAGGCTGAGGCGCACTGGACATTGACAAAATCTACCCTTTCGGGGCCAGACTTTGATCCACGTCCAGTGAGCCTCATGTTTCTGGGGAAGAGCAGAGAGCCCGAAACTCCAAGACGCACTGGATGTGGATGTGGACGTTGCCTGCCAGCATTCCCGAAGCGATTCTGGCCGCATGCGAAGCCGCCTCGCTCTGGCGAGGCGCTCCTCCTCCCCATGGTCGTGGGGTGCAACGTGGCGACGCTGGACCCTTCTGCTCCCTGAGATCCGACACTGTCAACAAAAACATGCACTCCCTCTGGGATTCACGACCCGAGCCCCGGACTTAGACGAGGCCAAGATGAGGATCATTTCGGGTACGGATAAATCGAAAACCTCTGAGATCCCGCGGCCCGGGGGGGTGTCTTGCGCGCCGCGGCCTTCTCAGAGCGTCCCGCAACGCTCTGAGAGCTTCCCGGAACGCTCTGGAACGGATTCGTCTTCACCCTGGCTGCGCCCGGTGGACCCCGTCTTCACCTTTCTGCGGCATGCTCAGAGCCGGTTCCACATGTGGAGGAGCTTCTCCAAGACCACAAACCGTGTAAGGAGTGTGCCGCGGGGAGGGTTGAGGGCAAGGAGGCAAGCAGGGGGAGAAGGAGGGGGAGGAGGGGGAGGAGGGGAGGAGGAGGAGAGAGGAGGGCGACAGCACCTGGTGTGAGAAACTGCAGCGCCAGCGCCTCACGGGAAGGGGAATCACACCTCATCATCCGCGGCTGGAGAAACGTCGGCAGCGGATTTCCGTCAAACGAAATGACGCTCCTCCTCCTCCTCCTCCTCCTCCTCCTCCTCCTCCTCCTCCTCCTCCTCCTCCTGGTCGCGACCAGAGAGCCTCGAATCTCGGCGGTCACGAAGAGACGGCGCGTCGGGGTCCCAGCGAGAGCCTCGAAGACATCGACGGCTCGCTCGTTGACGGAATTCTCCAAGAGGCTCTCCAGAAGTGTCCGATGAGGCAACAAACTGACGATTTAAACTGGTTTTGCTGAATTTTGAGGTTCTCACATGTCGCTCGTCCTCCTCCTCGTCCTCATTTTCTCCCTCTCCTCCTCCACCTCCTCCTCCTCCTCCTCCTCCTCATACCCCTCCTCCTGCAACTCCTCCTCCTGCTCCTCATCCTCCTCCTCCTCCTCCTCCTCCTCCTCCTTCTCCTCCTCCTCCTCCTCCTCCTCCTCCTCCTCCTCCTCCTCCTCCTCCTCCTCCTCCTCCTCCTCCTCTCCTCCTCCTCCTCTCTCTCCTCCTCCTCCTCCTCCTCCTCCTCCTCCTCCTCCTCCCCCTCCTCCTCCTCCTCCTCCTCCTCCTCCTCCTCCTCCTCCTCCTCCTCCTCCCACTCCTCCTCCTCCTCCTTCTCCCCTCGCCTGCTGGCAGTGCGTCCTCCAGCACCATGTCGGGCGCCTGCGCCACGGTCGCCGCCTGGCGGGCCCGCGGCGGGGTCGGCGGGCGGGCTGATCATGGCGGCCGCGGCTCGCTCACGACGGGGTGCTTACGACCAGATGCTCACGGCGCAGCCGCTTTTGCACGCACGGCAGCGCCGCGGATCGCGCAGCCGCCCAGGGTGCCGGACTGGGCGCTGAGGGGCCGGGCGCCCGCGGCTGCGCGCTGCGCCCCCACTCGCCAGCAACAAAGACAGTGCACGAACCGCCGTGCACCGTCGGATCGCGCGCAGCCCGCTGGCTCTGATGCGTGCTCTGCCGCCGAGTGCTCTGCGCGCGCTTCGCCAGTGCCGCCTCCCCCCCGTCCCCGAAGACCCCTCGGCGTCTCGACTGGGCCGAGAAAGATGCGCCTCCTTTCCCCCCCTGGGCTGGATCTTCACCCCGAGTCGCTCTGTGATAGTCCCTGGGCAATCAGGCCCGAGCCTCCAGAGGGCCCAACTCGTGAAAAACGGCATGCCCAAATGTGTTCGAGCCACCAGATGCCTGAACGCTCCCCGATGCTGGCCAGAGCTCTGTGGGGCGGGTCGGGGTGGCCCCTGCGCCTGCGTTTTGGCCCTTGCCGATCCGACGACGCTCCCCGCCCTGTGGTGGGCGAACCGCGGCCGCAGCCGCTGGTATGCAGGACCCCCCACACACACACACACACACACACACACACACGCACACCCACACACACACACACACACACACACACACACACACACACACACACACACGCGCACGCAAGCACGCACGCACGCACGCACGCACACACGCACACACGCACACACGCACACACGCACACCCACACACGCACCCACAGCCACACCCACAGCCACAGCCACAGCCACACCCACAGCCACACCCACACCCACACCCACACCCACACGCACGCACGCGCACGCGCACGCGCACGCGCACGCGCACGCGCACGCGCACGCGCACGCGCACGCGCACGCGCACGCGCACGCGCACGCGCACGCGCACGCGCACGCGCACGCACGCACACGCGCGCACACGGGGCCCTCTCGAAGGAGCAGTGCCGCTCTCGCAGCAACCTTCGGCAGCGGCCCCATCGCACCGGTGCCGCAGGTGCCCCGAGACGCTCTCTCGCTTCGGGTGCCCGTCAACGGGGGGGCGGTCCACGTGGTGTGCAGAAACGTGCACCACTGGCCCACCTCTCGAGTACAGTCGGGGCGTTGGCCTAAGGAACCCTAAATAAGGAACGAGGCCCCTTCTATCCACAAGTTGGACTTCGATTTCCCATCGAAAACCAAAGGGAAACCAAAGGCAAATTGTAAAGCAACAAAGGAACACGGAGCCCCTCCCCAACAAAAAGGGTTCCTTCTTCAGGGCCCCGAATGTAGGGGATCGACTACAGAATCGATCTACCCCAAGATTGAGTGTCCGTTGCATCTGCGGGAAGCACGTAGGAGGCTCCGTAGATCTGAGGGGCATTCTATGTATGCTTCGTAGCTTCGACGGAGAAATCAAGTTCGGGGCAGTTCACTTCTGTAGTCGACATCCCTGGTCGAACCTTGTGAGCCTGCGTGAAAGGTCGAGTCGGTGAGGGTGCCCTTCAGGACCACTTCCCTGCAGTCCTCGATCTCCCCACGCGTACTGCTCCCCCTGCTGCCGCTCGTCCGCCCGACCTCTCTCTTGGAAGCGCCCCCTCACTCTCGGAACCGCCCTCTCCTCTCACAGCGGTCTCCAGCAGCGCCCCCTATCGCTCCTGCATCGGTGCAGTCTTTGTCCAGGCAGTGGAAACGTCTCTCCAGAAGAATTGCCCGAAATAAGGTGCAATCGAGGGAAGTCCTGAGCGTCCCTCGGGCCCCATCTGTGCCCGACCAGCGGCAGCGACCCGCGCGACAGCTCCGATCAGGGGCAGCGGCTGAAGGCAAGTCGCAGATCGGACCGCACTACTGAGGCACAGATCGGAACGCACTGAGACACGGCAGTGGCAGGAGACGCAACCAACTACGCACGCAGCTCAAGCCGCGCTGGTCAATGTTCGGAAAACCTAGCGAGGCGTCTTCAACATTACGCCATTCCCGGTACAGGGAGTACTATAAGAGAACGCTGACGGTAGTGTAGAGAGTACCCCTGAGAATGGTAAACGACCAGACGGGAGAATAGACGCGAAATAAGATGGGAGAGTATAAGACCATGCGGGAGACAACACGGGAGACTATACGGCAAACCGCACGGCAGACCACACGGGAAACCATAAGGGAGCCCACACGGGAGACCGTGAGCCACCGATTCAGGATCTGGAGAGGCTCACACCTGCGCAACCTTAGAAGCAAAACGCTGGACCCTTACAGACAAGCTGTTCGGGGAAACATAAAAAAAATCGGAGGCCGTGCTCGTAGCTTCCCGACTCCAGGGGCCGATCTGGGGTCCAACTGCCGTCGGAGCACGCCCCAGGCCGACGAGGCCATCTCCCGGGCGGGGTCGCGAGGAGACGGCGCCGGAAGCGCGGATCTGCTCGAGGCGATCTCTCCAGGCTGCGTGGTGGTCGCGCGGCAGCTCGCACGTGCGCCGCCTTTCGCCCATGCCTGCCGCGCTTCTTTTCGCTCTTCTGCGATGGCAAGCTCGAGCGCAGGGCCGTTCTCGGGGGGGCGCGCCCTGCAGCTGCCACTGCTGCTGCTGCACTCGGTGCTGGAACATACCCTGCAGGTCTCTGGAGGAGGCCCCCCGGAGCCCCCGAGGCATCCGCGGATGCCCCTGGAGGCCTCCAACGGCCAAGGAAGCGTCAAACAGCACACACGACACATTGCGCAGTTTGACAGGATCCGCTTCCCACGCCGACCGGCCCAACGGCCAGACCTAGCCCCCCCCCCCCCCCCCTGCGCGCACCGAACACACCACCCTGGACGCGATGCACCCGCCCACTCCCCCGCGGATGACACTCCATGTCCGAATCCCCCCCCACGCGATCCCCCCCATGCTCGTTGAAAAACTCGTGTGCCATCTCCTGGTCCAGACAGCTCGCCCCCGATGTTTTCGACTTCTCGGGGGGGCGAACGGCCACAAAAGCGCGAACCGCAGCACAGTCGACACCATGGGGAGGAAGGGCGCTATCGCCTCGCGGGCACCTCCTCCTCCTCCTCCTCATCATCCTCTTCTTCTTCCTCCTCCTCTCCTCCTCCTCCTCTCCTCCTCCCCCACCCCCAGCCTCCCAGCCCTCCCAGCCTCCCAGCCTCCCAGCTCCCAGCCTCCCAGCCTCCTCCTCCTCCTCCTCCTCCTCCTCCTCCGCCTCCTCCTCCCCCTCTAAGCCTCTAAGAGAAAGGAAGAATGGAGAAGCATCCCCTTCTTCCTCCTCCTCCTCCTCCTCCTCCTCCTCCTTGCCCTCCTCCTCCCCGCTCACGCGCATCCGCCCGAGCACTGATCGGGAGCCGGCGCAACCCCCCAACCCTGGGGGACGATACGGCTCACGGCTCAGCGGCGGCCGCCCCGAGCGGGAGCCTGCAGAAACCTGGGACCGCAACGGCGACCGCGACGATCAGCCACGTCCGCCCAGCGCCCCGGGAGGAGGAGGAGGGGGGGGGAGGAGGAGGAGGAGGAGGAGGAGAGAGGAGGAGGAGGAGGAGGAGGAGGAGGAGGAGGAGGAGGAGGAGGAGGAGGAGAAGGAGGAGGAGGGAGAGGACGACGAGGAGGAGGAGGAAGAGGAGGAGGAGGCGGAGGACGGGTCGCCTAACCACTGCGGAGAAACCCTCCTAATACCTCCTCCCTCCCCTGGGGAAGCGAAAACGGTATCGATACCGCTGCTGCCCGGAGAACTCCCCGGGCGTGTCCTGAACATGATTTCGAGGCGAATCCAGCGGTGGCGACGAGGGCCTCCCAGGGGGCCCCAAAAATGTGTAAACGAGTGAAGGGTAGCGGTATCCCCTTCACTCTCCTCCCTCCTCCCTCCTCCCACCTCCTCCTCCTCTGGGTCTTCGTGGGGGGACGCTCCGTCGTCGCTGCGGCCGAGCGAACCCCATGCTCCCACCCCGCTCGTCGCTATCTATCCGCCTCCCCCCCCGGCTCCTCCCAGACCGCTGCGAGGCTTCAGGGGGCAAGTTCGAGGGGGACGGAAAGGTAGGACAGAAAAGAAGCTCACGAAGCTGGATTCCCTGGCGCCTCATGGCGCTGGGAGGCGCCCATGCATCGAGGAATGAGCCTGGCAGCGGAGAGGAAGCGCAGATGTCGTACAACCCCTTTCCTATCCTGCCCTTTCGCCCGGCCGAACAAATGCAGGGAAGACACCCGTGGGATCGTGCAATCATGCTTGCGCTTGCGAATCGATACCAACCGACGCTAACCGACCCATCGGCGGCACATCGACGCTGAAAGGATGCCGAGTCGGCACTACATCGGCGCTTCCTGCTCGACTGGCTGACGCTAATCGACGCTGAAGGACGAGAATGACAGAACTTCGAAGGCATCGAAGGCTCCGATGAGTTGCTGCAGAACGAGGGGGGGCATGGGATGGTAAAGTGTCGGGCTGCGCACGGAGAGCCCTCCCAGAACGTCCTGGTTGGCCTCAACCCCGAGTAGTCCTAGCTGGCCTCAACAGACTCTCCGAGTAGTCGGGGGCGGTTTCAACACCCCGGCGCCGCCTCCAACGGCGCCCCTGACTGAGCGCTGAGGCCGGCGGGGACCACCTGGGTAGGCTGTCTGTGCGCAACCCGCAGCCTTACCAGATCATGACTTCCCTTCGCGATCCCACAGTCTCCCCGTCGTTCCCCCTCTCGCCGACATCTGAGAGGAAGAAGAAGCAACACAAACATCCACTTTTGGAGGTCCGCGCGAATTCCCTGGATTGGCGCGGGCCCCCCTGGCGGCGCCTCTGGCGCCGCCCCTGTCGCGCTCCGCGCGCCAGTGAGGACGCCCCCGAAGTCCCGATCCGGCCCCCACCTGTCCGAACGCCGAACGCACCGTGCCAGCGGAGTCGGGCTGCAGCCCGCACCCACGAGCTGCACACCGCGGAAGATGAAACGACCGGAGACCTGGAGCTTACCCGTCGGTCGGAAGAAGTAGCTCGAAACATGAAGTAGGAAGGCGTTGAAAATAGATACTCTACTGTCAACGCCTTCCTACATCATGTTTCTACCCAGTCTGAGATTGGGTGCCTGCCGGCCCATGAAGAGGACGGAAAAGGTGAAGTCACTCGACTGTTGAAGTAGGCGGGCGCTCAAAGTAGAGCGAAGTCTGGGAATCAACATTCAACGACCGATGGTGATGTTGCAGGTTTCCAAGCCGGACTCACCTGTGAGGCTCCTGGGGCCCG